GCCATTGTTGGAACATAGTGTTACCAAAACGCACTGGCTTTTCTATACATTAAAAGTTGTTAATCTGATTTTTACCAATAATTATTTTATGAATACGCCACGAACTCATTTCATGAATGATCTTAATTCTGATTGGCTAAGAAAGGAATTTACATATGTATAACTATTTTTTAGGGTATGGTCGGCTCCTGAAATTTTGACATCGTAGAGGTACCCCAACACGGCGTTTTGCGGAACAAGATTATTTGTAAATTTTCCAGTAGCCGGCTGTAACATCTTGTTTTGATTCACAAAGTCGAACACATGAACTTGTGCTGGCTGCCATTTTTCTTTCAGTAGTTTGATCGATATAGCAGCAGTAACTAGGACTTGAAGAGGAGTGCGGAGTTAACATCGGTTTTGCCAATGGCTAGTCAAGTGTTAATTCTTCTTTATCTTTTTTTTTTCATCATGTCAATAAAGTGTTCGTTTTTTCTTTTATATTCACACAGAACCTTGTATATTTTTTTTGTCTTCGTTTTTGTTCATATTCACACTAAGCCTTTCCTCTTTGTATCCCGCCAATAAAATGTTCATATTTGTTTATCTTCACAATAAGTTATTATATTTTTTCATAAATCACTACCCCTATTATTCAAATACAAGATCTGTGAACCTTTAGTTACAAAGACGATCGGGAACTCGGTATTTGGCTCCTTCGACACCTTGGAATACGACATTACTAAACAAAGTACTCTAGAAAAACTATTACTATATGTTTTTAAAATATAGTTAACTTTCTCAATAAAGATGATGCGAATAATGAATAACTTTTACACTGACATTAAAAGGCTTTCTGTATTTTTAAACACTACATTATTAAATAAACGAACATTTACTATGATAGTGATGTAGCTAAATTGTGTTTACAAATTCATTCGTATACAAGATAAAAGCAGAACTAATTACAGAAAGCGACAGATAAATAATGATTAATCATTAATGTTACACAAAATAACTTCTACAGCTTAATTAAAGTATAGGCCGATAATTTATATAAAGGCTGAATTTTAAAATACTATAACTTAAGCCTAATACTTTGAAAAATCACCGATTGTAATCACTCTTTGTCAGCTACTATAACAAAATATGAAATTACAATATTTATTACTAGCAATATTTTGAATGTTTACTTGTTAAATAATGCAATAGGAAACTAAATTTGAAAAATCAAGATTATGGAGAATTCTTATTGTTTTTTCAAAGAAATTATCCGGAAAATTAATTTCTGTATGTAATCAAAAAGTTTTCTTTCTCGTCTGACCGCGAACATACAAACACGTTTACAAGAAAATTAACGTAGCTTATCTCGTCATGAAAAAAATGGAAAACTAAAAACAATTTATATCAACAGATTAAATACTTTCTCTCAAAAGAAACTAGACAAATTTTAGCATATGGTACGTATGGTGGCATAATTACACAGAAATCATCAAAAAAGTTTACATTTTTGAATTTGATTTTTACAGGTAAGGTTTTCATAACAGTCAACAAAAGTTGTTAATCAGATAGTTTGGAATAAGTACAAGCACCGTAAATTCCCACCAAACAAACATTCTTAGTTTTTAAAATTACTCGATACAGGTCTAATAGTACACCATGTGATATTTAAAATAACAGTAGCTAAATTATTCTCCGTAACCTAACAATAACATTGTATAAACTCTTCCTGAAACGTCACAAAATATAGTTTTCATATGAACCTGTTTTAACTTATCCATTATTATTTTTTTATCTGAATCACTTTCACTATTTATTTACCAAGGGTATTTAAAATCAATACTAATATGTTTTACTTTTATTCTGTTCAACTGTTAAGTAGGTGGGGAGGGAGGCATCATGCAGCTGCTCTAGATCTCGCCTGCAGCACCTAAAGTTTAAACAAATGGTAATGATGTAAGTTAAAATGTAAAGTATTGTTGCCTCAGCGAGGTCACGTGACTAGTATCACGCCACCTCCTTCTAGAAAT